ACCTCCACGATACGCTAGAGAGCAGTCCAGCCTTGAATTTCATTGCGGGCAACTCTTCAAACCAAAATGGGCAAGACTCTGTCCGCCTCTCCTCCTTCACTTGTGTTGTAAAAGATTCGGTCTCCATTGAAGGGCATTGATTTTGCTCCTCACCCCATGTTTCTATACATTCCACCCATGTAGGTGTCGGGTCGTGGAAGGCCTGGCGGGGGTTAGGGTTTGGGACCGGGGCCACAGGGGTAGGTTGTTGACTTCGGGTTCGGAGTTAGACCCATCCAAGAAGCTTTCTGCTTGGTGGTCATCCAAATGGATTTGATGTTCCTCATCGGGATCTTCTTCAAGCCAACCCGCATTGCCGTGATTTGGGAAGTATGGGTCACTATGATGAAATCCGGCCATGATATCTATGCGAGAAAAGGGGAAGAATAGTTAATAGATGTACTAATCTAAAATACTTATAAGAGAATCATTATTAGTCAGACCAATACTTGCATAGTGCATACTAATTATATGTGACCGAAACAAGATAGACCTTCGAATAAGCGATCCTAACTCTAAATCCACAACCAAACAAAGGAACAGGAAGTAAAGCAAAGATCACAGATTCTAAGTCTATAACGTCTTAGTCACATGTAACCGTAGTGTATCCACTTAGAAACAATTGCTCTCCTAATAATGACATTTTTTTTCATTCTCATATATGTAAGTTATAGTGATGCAGAATACTCCTATAGTATTCTCGTGCTAGAGTTATTGTGGTAGTGTTGGTAAGTTTTTAGACTTGTTGCAACACCACAACCATTCTTAGGCACATGCTAGTCACTCCTAGAAAGATGTAGTTGATCAGGCTACATCCACCCAGATGTGACTATATGTCTCTAAGCCTAAATGTGCTGCTCAACAATCTAAATACTTTTGTTCTGTTCTAGTATGATACAGACCCTTTTGTATTCGCGAATGTGTATATATATATATATATATATATATATATATATATATATATATATATATATATATATATATATATATACACTTAGTTAAATATTTTAGTATTTAAAAGTATATATTCTTGGTCAGAGTGTTTTAGTCCCGAAGTGTTTATAGTTCGTATATCTTTTATGGGTTGTTATACTTGATTCACTATAAATAATGCTCTGATACCAATCTGTCACACCCCAAAACCGAGAACGGCGGAATACGTTCTGGGGTGGGGGACATCGTGTTCAATATCATAACAATGCATAATAGTAAACACAAGCAACCACATCCACTGCAATAATATAATAATTGTAATACAAGCGTGTTCTGTACATTTATGTAGACACCAAAAGTATAAACAAAATAAAAGATGAGTCTTATATGAGCTCCATCTTCCAAAAACTGCACCAACACTTGTTTATTGTTGACCTGAGAATACAAGTTATTTTGAAAAACGAGTATCAGCATAAAGCTGGTGAGTTCATAAGTATTTAGTGTCATTGTTTGTATAAAAGTGTTTACAATCTTGTAGTGAAATGACTGTTATCAAAATACAGTTTTAGCTCGTTTATTTTAGAGAAGGAATGGTGTTTCACCCCAACAGCATCCCTGCCAGTTAAATGTAATAGTGAATGTAAACTCCAGATAGTATTAATTTTGTATGCACCTCAGGATGTGTTTTAATTAAAGTTTAAATGTGAGCTCGTATGAAAACATACTGAGTGATTGTAGTACACTGGCCGACCCTCTAGGTCTCCAATAGTGTAGTAGTATTTGTCATCCCTGGGCCAAAAGGCTCGGACTGTAGCTAGCAGTCAGGATGGGGGAAAATCCGTGTATAGATCTATACACGTATTGGTCGTTCTCCCTCCAGGAGACAATGGTTATCCGATGATCGGATAGCGATAGGTCGTATAGAGAGATGGTGCATCACATTCTGTTATAGTATTTTCTTTTGTATGGTATATAATGTTCTCTTAGTATACTATGTATTGTTCTCTTGATGTAGTTTATAGTATTTCTTCTTATAGCGGGTAGTGTTCCCTTAGTATAGTGTATAGTGTATAGTGTTCTCTTCACATCGTGTATTGTACATATAGTCTTATAATTGTACTGACCATAGTGTGTATCATAGTAATATCAAAAATGAGTGGTAATCCTTAACTATACCTATTATAGTTAAATTGAGTACTTGATTTAGTGTCTTCGATATGTAGAAGTATCGAATTAGAATGAAAACTTTTATATCTAACACAAATATACAAGATATATAACTAAATATTAAACGACAGTCGGACAGATAACCTAATGCCCTAAGCCCACAATCAAATAAGAACAAGAAATAAGGTCAGTTATCAGTTCTAAGTCCTTCAATACTTATTTATATAAATATATTAGTGTATATATGATTTGGAAATAATTTAAGGTTTTGAAAATATTGAAAAATGGTTTTAAGACAATTGATTTGTGAAAATGAGGTTGATAAACATATACACTAACTTTACTGACAAAATACTTTAAAAATGTAAAAATCCCTTTGATAGTAAGTCTTAAATCATGTGTGATTGATTCTGCAATGTATTGAATTTAACTTGTATCCCCCCCCATAAAAACAATTAAAAACATTTGAATGGTTAATTAAAGGGGTATGAACTCACTGTTAGAAGTAGGGTTCAAGTGTGCTATCGATATGAGTGTCGAGTGTCAACGGATGCTCTGAACGCAAGTGGCCCCTATTAATCATATTGTGACACACACACACACACACACACACACACACACATATATATATATATATATATATATATATATATGTTAGAGCTAGGGTGTTTCATGACTAAAGATGATGGGAAATCACCCTATGGGCTTGGAATAACTAGGACTAAGTGTCCCGTGTTCTATACTCAATGATCTATGCAAGTTTAAGGCCAAATATGAGTATTAGGGTGGGTGTATAACCATAAAAGTGAGTGTGCGGCTGGGGAATGCGGCCAGACTTGTGTGTGAGGCTGTACACTAGAGTGTGCGGCCATACACTCCTTTTTGAGTCCTATTTGTCGATTGTGTGGCCACACTCTCACTTTGGAGGGTGTTTTGAATGTATGCGGCCACCTGATGAAGGTGTGCGGCCACACTCCTTCAAGGAGTGAAGAACACGAAGAACACTATGAGTTTTGGGCTTGGATTCAAGTGTTTTACCTCTATAGCAAGCTGAAAGATGGTGTTGTTCACGTTTTGGAGGCCTTCTTAATGTTCTTGGGTGATGTTTTTAGAGATGGAAAGTAGAGAGAGGAAGAGAGTGCAGCCAAAAGTGAATGGAAAGAGTCCTCTACTATATATATAGGGTCGGGTGTGAGGCTGGAGGGGGTTTGCGGTTGGGTGTGCGGCTGGCTCGCCGCACACACCCCTCTTGGTGTGTTTGGCTGTATTTTTCGATGCAACACCCTTCCTAACCCTTCCTATGGCCCACATCTATGATATACTAAGCCTAAAACACTCGCGCGGACCCAACATTTGGCTAAAAGATGCTAAATTCACGTGAATTATAGATATATGGATCGATTTCACAATGTAAAAATGTCGGGTTGTCACAAATAACATCTCAAAACTGAGAATGTGAAAACATTAATTAATGGCATAAAAAACAGGGTCCTAAAAAGATTCATAACCTTTCCCCTGAAAATCAGACAGTAAAAGGTCTTGAGGTGACAATCTCGGCCAACACACAGGTAGCTAAACCTTAAAGTATAGCCAAGAATGTAGGCTAACATTTCATAAGTTAGCGTAAAAAGCTCAACTAAGCATACAAGTCAATGATTGTCGAAAACATATAAGCCAACAGTAGTGGTTTCACGACGACTAAAACGCAGGCTAAGCGATTAACGCGACTAGAACAAGGGAGTGTGTAGAAAAGAATTATAGTATAAATGTCAAGTAACTATAGTCTAAAGATATTACAGGACAATTCAAAATAAAGAAACAATATTCATATACCAAGTACAAAGCAAAATACACAGTTCTTGGTTGTTGATAACCAATATCTTTCATTGACATACAATACACAGGAGTACGGATACACTACAGAATGAACAAAAAGGGGACAAACAAAAATCAATCCCTAAAGTCTGAGGAAGAGCTTCCTGGACCTGGCCTACGACAGAACTGGCAGAAGCTATCATAATCCAGGTCCCCCAGAAGAAATTGGCCAGCAAAATCTGTCTCAGCAAGGGACGAAAGGGTAATATACACCTCTTCGACTCTTCTCGAGACACGACCAGGATATCGGGCGTCAGATTCACTAGAAGTTGAGGGATGATGGGCTTACTATTTCCCTTTTTCAAGTCCAAGGGTCTCACATGCCTTTTGTATGCCTTGGATCTCGCTGTTAAACTCCGCACTCTCGATAACCTTATCGATTAGTTGAACCACGCCCTTTTCCAACACCCATTGCAATTTTCCTCAGGCAATAGCACCGTCAACCCAGGCACGAGCCAGTTGACATTGGCACCTGGCCAACTCACTCGCTATAACACCCTTCTCTCAAGCTAAAGAGTTCACTTGATTTTCAAGTCACTCCGCTTGGTCTTCCAGGGTGGCGACATGGTCTTCCAAAGCATCCTTCTCACAGGTCACAATGCTATTTTGCGCATATAACATTTGACGTTCTTCTATGAATCACAGAGTTCTCCCTTAAAGCTAGCAACACCATCTTGCAAATTTTTTAACTGAGCTTCATTTATGCCAAGGCGGCAAACCCGTCAGCGGCAGCAACCATAAGCACAGAAGTTTAAGCAGCGGCATATCAAAGGTCACCGACCATGCGGGCGCCCGATTTGGATGCAAGCAACTTTATTATGGCCGGAGGATGGGCACAACTACTCCACTCCTAAGCAATGATGTCTTCCTAAAGTAATGATTCTTTAGTCACCGCCCAACCTGGAGCATAAGCCTTAGAAGCCAAGGGATGGATGCAGTCCTCATTTCACCAACCATGTAAAGTTTGCTTGATGGGGAAGAATCTCCTAACACACCCAATGCACCTCCAAGCACAGAACAAGCACCAGGATCAATCGTGAGCGAATCAATACACTAAGGAGGCAATGTCTTTGAAGAACTGGGCACCACCACCATCTCTTTCTGCCTGAGCACAGAAACCCATCACCAAGAACATCCCTAATATCACCAAGATGCTTGGGCACGAATACCGTGTTTCTCATCTTACGAGGACGAAGGCCCACGTCATCAGATTTGATCTCTTCGTCCGATAACAACACCACACGCATACTTCGTTTTTTCCAGATAGGAAGTGTATCTTTTTGTGCTTGATCCACTACAGGAATATCGGCAAAAGCAGAGGCCGGAAAACAGACTGGGAAAATGGCCTCAACAACCAGCTGAGAAGACGAGGCAGGTTCGATAGAACCAACATTTCCCTCTTCTACTGGGAGCAATCCAACGAGCTCCCGCATATGTTTTTCAGATACAGGAGGAGGAAAAGTGTCTACAAGGTCAACCTCCCGGTGACAAAGCTTGCCTCGATAATGACCACGTAGGGTCATCACCAAGTATATCTCGGCTTCGGCACCTGCAAACACAAACACCAAGCATGAGAACTGACAAGCCAATAAAATAATTTGTTCTTATTTTTTTTTTAAAGGGGAAGGGGGGGGGGGAGATGAGCGAATACAACATCTCACGATGAATAATTGCACCATCTTCCCACGCGCCCTCCAGGCGGCACTTATGTCGGTTGTGGCAAGGATGAAATCTTTCCATTTCTCCCCGGTAACAGTAATATTTCCCAGCCGTTTTCAAAGAGTTAGGTTATCCCCGAATAGCTTGGGTAAACGGTCGGGAAAGTCTCGGGTTGTACGAAACCCATGCCCATAAGGTTTCGGTTGACCCAGAGCCATTGCCTCTGCCAATTTTTCTTAGGAGTATCTTACTCAGAGATCAATTAACGAATGCCCCGCCTTTTCGCCAGCGTGCAGACGTAGATGCAAAAAAGAAGTAACTGAAAACCCAAAAAATGGGTATACAACTCAGAGATCGACAAATCAGTTGGAAGCCTACGATCTTATTGACGGTACTGGGGGATGATTCATCAACGGAAAAGTCGTAGTGATGCACGATCATATCAAAGAAGTTAGATGTTAGCAGGTGTAACCCCGCTTAGAATAGAGGAACAGGAACCCCCACTTGGTAGGGACTTTGTCATGACGGTCCATCGTCAAGAACGAATGAATGCTAGAAAAGAAAATTTCACAAAATGCCTGAGTCGCTACAACGAAAGCAAAGAAAGGAGGCAAAGGTGAAAGGTATGGACTAAAAGGGGATTTTAAAGGCAAAACTAGCGTCACGAACCGTCTCGTGATGGGTCTGACACACATCAACGACGCTGCCTAAAGTCTGTCGAATGCTAGAGATAATCTCAGACATACACATATTGTAATATGGGCTCAAACGGTGATGCTACCAAGCCAACGCATGCACCTACAATCCTAAAGGACTTGTTAACGTATCCCTAAGGAAAAACGTTAAAAAGGAGAAGTCAAACTAGCGCCAAGCCTAGCCTAGTCAGAGTCTAGTCATATCCAATCTGAGGCCATGTTCGGGCCTCCACCAATGTGGATTCACTGATATGGCAGTTAAGGGGCAGAACTGTGCCTTACCCTCTTCTCCCCATGAGAAATACCCTGGAAAACGTGGATCCAATCAGAGAGCTCCACTTGCCTATCTGAAAACAACCGGATCATCATTAATCGAACATTCTCCTCTAGCTAATGGGATGACGAGACAGAAAGACGTGATGGAGGATCCTTCAATACGGATCCGTCACGTCACGTCTCATGAGGGAAGGCTCAGCAAAATCAGTTAAGAGGTACGTGCCTCTCGATTAGGTATAAAAGAACTCTTCTTCCTCACGGAGAAGGGGGTATGACTCTTTCGTATCAGACATTCCTTTCCTCCTCTCGAAATCAATTCTAATTTGATCGTCGGAGCTTCGTCCTGGGAGCCACTCCAGAACGTTGTCTAACGATCATCTATTTTCTTTGTACTGTGATATTAGGAGAAAGAACCTGCTTAACACTCACCGTTGATCTCAAGCCATCTCTGACATATCACAACAAGTATGAAAGTAAATGATAAATCTAATACATTTAGTTACATTTCTACTAATTTTAATATTTTTTTTAATAATCAATCATTAAAAAATAACTTAAATATAAAGATATTTTTATTTTTTATTTTTACGGACTTTAAGATTTTGGAAGTGAAAAGCGATTTAGATATGAAAATAATTATCTTATTTTTCTAGGGACCTAATTTAGTTATTCAAAGTTAAAAGGGCCACAGAAGAACATTGTTCACAATAAACCTCCGACTGTTCAGATGTTCATTTTTTCGTGGGGAAAGCAAAGAGGATTCTGTCGCCGCCATGGAAACGGTGGAAGAAGGAATAAATTTACCTACAATCGCTCCAAATCGGATGGACTCTCTAGAACTCGTGGAAGAGGACGCAGAAGATCGAATTAGTGCGTTGCCAGACGGCTTGATTCATGAAATCCTCTCTTGTTTACCCTCCACAAAATGCGCCATTAGAACAGGTACTCTCTCAAAACGATGGAATCATCTCTGGACTTTGGTTCCTACTCTAATTTTCGAAGATGCTGATGGTAATCATGATTTCATTTCGTTCGTCGACAACGCCCTAACTCAATGTCGCCAATCAAAGCTCAAGAAATTCGTACTGTATACCGCTTATGATATTCGATTTGAATCTCAATTCAGCAATTGGATTGATTATGCCATAAACTGTAACGTTGAAGAGCTTAATTTAACATTATGGAATACGGATCTCAAAGCAGAGTTTCTATTAGATCAATCTTTTTTCGCCAGGTCAAGTTTTACTGATCTCACATTAGAAGGCTGCATCTTTGATCCAATTGGGGCAATCAATTGGAAAAATCTCAGGACTTTGTGTATTACATTTGGGAAGTTAGATGAAGATCTGATTAAAAACATATTACATGGTAGCCCTCAATTGGAAACCTTTGAATTGAATTATTGTTATGGCTATAGAAGGCTCGATATTGCTTCAAAGAGTGTTAAGAACTTGGTGTTCTCTGGATACATGGTTCCTTATGATAAATTTGAAGCTGATATCATCGAAATCAATGCTCCTAGTATTTTATCACTAACAATCCAAGATGAATTGTTGTTGTTGAAGCTTTTGTTGCTAAGCGTGTCTTCTTTAGTTGAAGCTAACATAGATTATAGAAACAGTGACACAACACCTGAAGAAGCGAAGGAAGAGATGCTTAAAGGATTTATATTAAACCTTCGACATCTTAAGGAGCTTAAAATTGGGGGTTTCTGTTCTGAGGTAAAATTTATTTTCCTTTTGATCAAATGATTACCTGATTATCTCTTCATGTTGCAATAATCACTAACAAATCACACCTCCAAACACCCTCTTAATTAATCCATACTTGCATTGTCTGATTCTTATTGTTGTATTGTTGTTATGGTAGGTTGTGTCTCGTTTGGAAGCAAAAGGTTTCATTTTTCCATCAAATGTGAAGTTTGCTTCATCATGATCCTAAATGCAAAGACGATAATTGATTGGTGATAATTTGAATCATGTTTAGGCTATAAATTGTTTTAAGGCATTCCAAATGTATGCAAGTTTATTACCTCATGTGATTTGAATTGAGCGTTTCTTGTGTTAATCGCAAAAAGCTAATTGTTGGCAATGTAAAAATATATATATTCTTGGCTCATATGCTTCTATTATGAAAAAAAAAAAAAAAAAAAAAAAAAAAAAAAAAAAAAAAAACGAGTCAATTTTTTATTAAATTGATTGTCAAAGTCTCTTCCATCTAATTTAAATGATAAAATTATCAATCTCCCATGTTGACCCTAATCTTCAGTTACATTATATAGTTTCCATTTGCTACTACATAAATTTTTATCTACAACATTTCTCTTTAATTTAGTTTCACATGGAAATCACAATAGCAAATTACTTTGAGTTTCTATCAAAATTACCAAATTAACCGGTTTCATGGGTTAAGACTTTCTTAATAGATGAAGCCTAATTTTCGTTAACATTTTCATTTAATATAAAATAATTTGACATTTCCAAATAAGTATAAATCTGGATGTTGCTGTAATGCGAGTAGGGGGAACATGAAAATATGGCCTCATTTTGAATGAATGTTAGAGGTGGGTGTGTGGCTACATAATGAATGATGAACACGAATATATGGTGTCAATGCAAGTAGTTTGATCATTCCCCCACGACCTTTAAATGCACCATTAGAAGAGGAACTGTATCAGAAAGAAAGCTGTTAGGAGGTGGAAATCAACTGATATTAATATCAGGGAAATAGTAAGATAGCTTTACATACCAAAAGGAATTTGGTGTACATAAAAAAACTCATTTAAGGATTTTCTAGCGTGTTTGGTTCACGGATTTCGAAAGAATTTGAAGGAATTAGAATGTAAATTCCAGGTTAACAAAATCAAAAGGATTTATAATTCTTTAAATTTCATTAAATTTTGTGTCCTAAAGAATTGGTCATTTTTTGACTAAAGGCAAAGATTTTAGATTTTATTCCTTATGTTTTATTATAAGCAAAAAGATGTCATCCCACCTTCTCTTTAGCATTTATTCATCAAATCAAAACATATTATTATCATCTTTCCAATACCCCACTCATCCACCCACCTACCCTCCACATCTACACGCCTACACCCACATAACCCCCCCCCCCTCCACCCACCCCCACCACCCACCCACCCACTATATCACCACCTTACCTCCAAACCCATCCACACACCCACACACACCAAAAGCCATACACATGTTCACACCCACACCAACAGGTCCACGATGACACCAACGCCCAACTCACCCCTACACCTATCTCTTGCCAAATTCCACCCCACACCCAGACCCATACAAACACCCCCACCTACTTACACACCCCCCACACCACCACCACACACCCACATCTCACCCTACCAGTTCCACCCATACTCAAACACCTCACCCCCATACCTACACTCGCACCCTCATCCATACATTCACACTAACACACCCACACTAATAAGCCCACACCAATGTACATCCCACCCTACACCTACACCCATAAACACTCTCTTGCATCCACGCCAACACACCCATATAGGTTTAAACATGTAAGATCTTAATAAATGACATATTATCATTTATAAAAATAATATAATGTTAAAAAAATTAAATAAAATGGTATTTTGGTCATATTACATAATTTACTTTTAGCTTCTTTAACAAATCTACAAACTAAATAGAAAACAGGTTTCATTCCATGTCAACCAAACACATAACACATTCCAGTTGCTTCATATTCCAATTCTTTCATATTTAAATTCCTTTGACATATTTCATTTTGTAACGCCCGGTTTTAGGTACAAGTTTTATATTTTTAATTTTTGAATTTTGGTGGCCACGATGTGGTGAAAGGCCTACCACAACGTACCATTGCCTAAGGAAACACGTAGTTCATTTGGCCACCATGACGTTACAAGGTGCTTGTCACGACATGGTGATGGCTGGGTGGTAAACCTTAAATTTTCGGGTTTAAGATCCTATTTAAGGGAAGAGATGGCCGAGGGTTGAGGTGATGGCTAGGGTTTCCTCAACCCTCAACCTCCAACACCTCCAAAGTGTTCTTGTCTAAACCCTAGCCTCCCTTCAAGCTTTTGAGCTCATTCTTGGTGTTTTTGTG